CTCTCTCTCTCTCTCTCTCTCTCTCTCTCTCTCTCTCTCTCTCTCTCTCTCTCTTGTTATTTCGGCAGTTTCCGTAACTGAAGTCAGTGTGCCGACTTTCAAATTTTGTAATAATCAGTCTTCTCTGCAGACCCACCCACTGTGAGTCCTCCCTCTCTAGGTCCACCGATTGCGGGCCCACCGAATCAGGGGATCATTGTTGCAGGTCTTGCTGTAAGAGGGGATCTAAATTTCAGCATCTTGCAAGCTCCAAGCAACCTTAGGGTTTCGGGTCCAGGGATTAGCATTTAGGGTTTAGGGCTTAGGGTTTAGGATGCACGTCCTTTCAAAACTTGCGTATGATTCTGTATATACTATATACTATATAATACATATTTGCATGGGTCCTGGGGACCATCTCACGCAAGAGTGTTCACAGCATGCATCATCATCACACGTAATGAGCTGAGGTCTTCACACACGAGACAAAGATAGATGAGAAGAGAAGACCAAGTTGCGCAGATTATATTATCAAAAATATGATTACAAAGAGTTTCATAGTTCCCTGAGTCCAGCGCTCATCAGCGCAGTGCAAATCTCTCTCCCAACTCAACCAGATGGCTTCTACACCTCAGCGCCACCTCTGCATATCAAATCCAACTCAGGTAAGTATCTTTCATAGCCCAACCTTGTTTGGACACTCTCTGTCTTAGTCTCCTCTCCTCCTACGATGCATACTCACTCTTCTCTCACTAGGATCTACTCTGAATGCTACTCATAGCTGACTACTACTAACCCTCTATTACTACTACTAACTTGCTGGGCAGCTATGGCTGCATCTCATTCCAGCGCACAGTCTCCTTCCCTCACATAGCGCATCTTCATCCTCCAGCGCTGTTGCTCCCCCTGACTGGCGCACAAGTGCCTCAGCACTTCCACGCACAGAATGCCAGTGGAGATCTGACGAGAAATGAGGCTGGCTGCTTCTTTTATAATGCTGGCCTCCTCTTGCTGGGTCTGCATTGGCTCATCCAGGCCTTCCTTTGTCCCAGTGAAGTCAACTGCTGCTGAGGCCACTCGGCCTAGATTTGGACTTGGACATCTGGATCTGGACTGTCCCCTAGACTTAGACCAGATCTGGGACTCTGTTCGTTCACTTGCTTTCGAACAGACACAACTTTGGACGAACAGACACACTTACTGCCTGAACAGACACTCACACAGTGTGAATAGACACTCTCCTTTGCACGAACAGACACACTGACTGCACGTACAGACACACCCTTATCTGAACAGACATGACATGTGCATCCTTTGGCGAACAGGTATGTCTCTCAGCAATAACCTTTGGCACTGAATTCTAGCTTAGATTTAGATGTGTCCTTTGATAGAGAACCTGCCCGTTGATCTGCTTTCTCGTGTCCTGGGTCCTGGCGAGATACCCTTCCATGCTGCTTTACTTTTAGGAGGCCTGCATCAGGTAAAGGCCCTTTTATATTCCTGTATGCCTACCTGCCAGCCTGTCAGGCTTACTACCTGCCTTGCCCTGTTTGCTGTGGATTGCACATCATTGTGTATTGCGTAAGATGAATTCTAAG